TTTTTTAGAGTCGCTGGTTTTGGACAAAAACAACGTGCTGCTGAGTCTGCTGAGCGCTGACCCACAATATTAAATTAAAGTCCCAACAAATTTCTTTTTGCTAATAAAATAAAAGAAATCCCACCGAGGGCCAAATACCAATTGCCCCTAACTTTACTCCCACGTACGTCCAATTAGAATTTGATTTCTTTGTCCCCGAATTTGACGTTGTTTGATTTTAATCTGAATTTATTTGTAACCCAAAATCGGCGCAAGGGGTTTTTCCCGGGAACCTTCTCTCCTCTGTCTCCATCTGAATTCTTGTTGACTGACGTTGAGGCAAGCCCCGCCCCGCGCTCGTTTCCTTTTTGGGGCTCTTTTGTTCTATCGGTAAGTTTGATTTGCATTTCCTTTGTCTGATTGTTAATTTTGGATTTATTTTTTTTTCAGTGATTGATCCTCAATTCTAATTAGGGTTTGCAATGTTCATCGTTTCCTTGATTGATTGATTGCTATGATTTCGTCGGTAAAGATAAGAAATTTGATGAAATTTCCGTAAAGGGTATTGGTTGATCAATCTCTTTCCAAATAAAAGAATTGAATTGTTAATTCTTCTTTAGGGCATAGGCATAAGGATGCTTGAATAGTTGATTTTACTTTAATCAGTTCTGTAGTTTCAAAATTCTATTACCATTTGGATTTTGCAAAGCACATTGTTTGTGAAGGTGGGATATATTTATATGAGCTTGTGATGATCCCCAAAGTCACCATCCTCCTATGTTGAGGCCTTGAGATTTTCGGGTTTTAATCTTATTCTTATCGGTGAATATTTGTCTTTTGTGCTTCCTTTAGTCCTATAATTAATCAGTAATTTACTTATTTTAGCAGTTTTTAATTTTGTACTTTTTTTTTTTTGGCTTTAACCTTACAGTTTTACAACATAATTTAAATAAAAAGGTGTGGGTGGTGTGTGACTGAGGAATTGTTGGTGATAAATTTTAAAAGCTCTTTTGCAATGAGCAGGTTGACCACACGGCTCACATCATACAAGGAGTGGTGGCTTTTTGTGGAGGAGTGGTATCTGATGGTTCAATAGAGCCCAGTGCATCCAAGAGAAGAATATAGTGGGCGTCTCTCAAGATCCCGAAATTGATGTTATGATCTTTTTGTGAAATCTGTGTCAGTGTGAAAATGCAGTTCACATTTGGGAAGGTTCTATTATTTTCACTCTTCTCCATAGTTCTCTTTGGGTATGCTACAGCTGAGTTTGAGAATGAAGTTTCGCGAAAGCTGATATCTGCTCCACACAAAAATGTGAGAAGCAATGTTATTGATGGCGCTGGTATAGAGAATTCCTTAAGTTTTGAGGATTCAAATAATGGACTGGGTGAGTTGAAAAGCGTGAACAGCAAGGTCTCAGTCTCAACTGTTGCATTATTCACGTTGGCAATGGCTGCTGCCACTGGTTTAGGTGCAGTCCCATTCTTCTTTGTGGAGCTTGATCCACAATGGGCAGGATTATGCAATGGAATGGCTGCTGGTGTAATGTTGGCTGCAAGCTTTGATCTTGTACAGGAAGGGCAAGGTCATGGTGCTGGGAATTGGGTTGTCATTGGGCTTTTAGCTGGCGGCCTTTTTATTTTACTGTGCAAGAAGGTAGTGAATTGCTCCCTCATTTTCCTCTGTCTTACTGTGTCTTTGCTATTTTTGTAAATTTTGTTGCATTTTCCCTTTAGTAAATTTGGTTCCTGCTTCATAGAATTCACATTTCCGTTGCATTTTGCAGAGAGATTTAACAAATATTTCCCTTGTAATATCTCGTTCAAATGTCTGCTTGTGTGCAGTTATGGGTTTTTCTTCTATACAATTCTAGGATGTATCAAGCTCTCATTATTCCTTGCATAATTTTAGTACATCTGTTTTCAGTTTCTTGAACAATATGGAGAAGTTAGCATGTTAGACATTAAAGGTGCTGATGCAACTAAAGTCGTTCTTGTGATTGGGATAATGACTCTTCATTCATTTGGGGAGGGCTCTGGTGTTGGGGTTTCGTTTGCTGGCTCAAAGGGTTTCTCTCAGGGCCTTTTGGTAACTTTGGCTATTGCTGTGCACAACATACCAGAAGGATTAGCTGTGAGTATGGTGCTTGCATCCAGGGGTGTTTCTCCACAGAATGCCATGTTATGGAGCGTGATTACCTCATTACCACAGGTAATTTGTTAGTTTTCAAAATTCATGGGGTTTGAGAATAGATAACCAGCTCTAGTGGATTTGCATTCTGATTCTGTTACTCTTTTTACCTTAGACAAACAAATAGGATGGTAATCCGTTCAATCTGGTTCAACTTCAAGTGCATGTTTGTGGTATGACTGAAATGTCTTGATTTATAATTACATTCACTTAAAGAAATAAAAAGGTGGAAGAAAGTGGAATTATGAGTTACTTGTGCTTACAGTTGGATATTGCTCACTATTTTTAATCAATATGGGTCTTTTTTGGTTCATTGGAGGGCCATTGGGTCTATGGGCCACACAACTGGAGGTGGCCCTCTCATCCCATAAACTGCCTTATCGTTGGTGAAGCAGGATTCGATTGCATAACCAAACCAAAGGACTTTACGAAGCTAGCTGAAACCTTGAAAATAAGCTTGTTTAACTAAATGGCCTCCTATGTATATTGTTGTTGCAGCCCATTGTAGCTGTTCCTTCATTCATATGCGCTGATGCGTTTAGCAAGTTTCTTCCTTTCTGTACGGGCTTTGCTGCTGGATGCATGATCTGGATGGTTGTTGCAGAGGTGCTTCCTGATGCATTCAAGGTAACATTCCTCATGAGACTTCTCCATGTTGGTTGTTTCTTCAAGTGCTTATGTCCTTTGCAGTAGGCTTTTATAACTTATTAAAGTAGATTATCAAAATGTTCGCAAGATTCTATATTAATCTCCAACACATTTTTTTCTTTTGGGATTTGGTTGTAGGAAGCCTCTCCATCGCAGGTTGCATCAGCAGCTACTCTCTCTGTAGCATTTATGGAAGCTCTTAGCACCCTTTTTCAGAATTTCACCCATGATTACAAGTGAGTTCATTTTAATGTTGAGGAGAATTCTGTCACTTTGCTTTTGTGTTCCCCTTTTACATGTTCTTTTGATACTTTTCACTCGCCTTTTGGAGTACTCTTATTTTTTACATGTGCTGTTTTGCAGCTCAGAGGATGCTTCTGGCTTCTTTGTTTCATTACTATTTGGTCTTGGACCGTTGCTCGGTGGCAGTGTTCTTGTTGCATTTGCATTGGCTTTCCATCTCCAGCATGCTCTTCTCATGGGTGCAGCATCTGGCATTGCCTTTGTCCTTGGTGCCTGGAGACCATTGCAGCTACTTTTGTCGTTAAAGATGGGATTTTTATCTATTATGTTTCTGCTTGCAATGGGAGCTGCGTCTGTCCATATTTTGAGCTCCAGTATTTTGAAGATTGCAGGTCGCAAAAGAACTTCAGTGCATAACTTACCGGCAGTAAATGGTTTTCCAGTGAGCGTTCACACCCTCCAATCATTCTTGGCATGTGGAGCAGTTGCCCTTCATGCTTTGGCTGAAGGGCTTGCACTAGGTGTTGCTGCACCAAAAGCTTATGGACTTGGTCGACACATGGTCCTTCCTGTCTCTCTACATGGACTCCCTCGGGGTGCAGCTGTGGCTAGCTGCATCTTTGGTGCTACAGACAACTGGCACGCGGCCCTTGCGGCGGCTGCTTTAATTGGATTCATGGGTCCAATATCTGCAATCGGAGCAATACTCGCAGGTATTGACTATAGCGGTTTAGACCATGTGATGGTTTATGCATGTGGGGGGCTACTCCCAAGTTTTGGAAATGTAGTAAAGAGAGCAGTTAGGTTGGATATGCGTAAAAGTAGTTGCGGGATTTTGATGGGTGTGGGGTTTGCAACTCTGTGTTTGACTTGCACTAAGTTGGTCTGCTTGCACACACCTTATTGCAATTCTGCTCCAGAGGCTGTCAGATGAGATATGGTACTCCTGCGGCTCATGCAATGTAATAGCTTAGGTGCTGAGCGTGTATAGTAATGAAAGGTTAAGCACATTCATGCTCTGGCATATAAGTTTGGCATCTCTGCTTGGGAAAGGAAGGAAACCCTTGAGGAATTGTAGAGGAGATGCTGCAAGGACTGAGGATTGGGTGACATCAGAGGAAGCTGCTTTCGGTTCAGAGGAGGATGCATCAACCTTTGCGTGGATAGCAGAGCTTGTCTCTTGTACAGACGTTAGAAAATTATGTTATGCTCATTTATGCTTACAGAGAAGAAATGGGGAATTGGGTTTATCCCTTTGACACTAAAATTTTATCTTTAAGCAGTTTTGATTCAGACAGATTTTACATTGAAGCAGTAGAATTCTGATGCATTGTTTCATTTGGCAGTGAACTTTAATACCAGTCTTGATTCAGACAGAATGTTCTTTTGTTGGGTTTGAAACGCAAGGCGGCCAAGCCTGGAATATCGAACATTGCTCCTAAGTTACTTACAAATCTTCTGATTTCTTTTTTCTTCTTTGTTTCCTTCTTTACCGTGGAAAAGACAAAAGTATTAAGGAAGCAAATCATACGGAAGGGGGCCAATTTGGGTGGGTCGACATGTCGTTTAGTACCTGTAGGCGGTAGTTAGGTGAAGTGGCAATGTCAAAAACATGGACCACTACCACATTGAAAAACCCAAAAACAAAGTATTATTTGGTAGGCAATGAATCTGAGAAATGAAGATCTACGAAAGTATAGCCCCTAACCCAGAAAAATTAAAATTAAAATCTTCAGCATCCATCAAGAACTGTTTCATACAAGCACATCTTCGTCTCAAATGTGCTAAGAAAATAAGAAACCATCCATTTTCTGAGAAATCGCATTCGTCAACCAAAATGCATACTTAGTTGAAAATTAACCATCTCAGGTGTAATGAACAAGAATTGCAAAACTGAAAACCTCCAGAAAAATGGGCATAGCTAAAATATAATATGAAGCTTATTGTAAACTGTAAACACATTCATTCAGGTTGAGCCAGCATTTCATTTCCAGATGAACTTTTAACAACGCCTAAAATTTCATCAAGCCTAGGATTTTCTTATTATTATAGCTACAAAACACCAGTCTCCGCAGAGTTCATAGTTATGAACAAAACTGATAGCAAGACAATAAAAACAAGAAGAAAAACCAAATCACTTGTAAGTCGACTGATTGCTCTGCAAATCCTCACTCTCCTCCACCAATTTCTCCTTCTCTGCAGCTGATCCAACCTCCCCTCCTCCTTCCACCGATTTCGCTTCACCGACACTCTGAGAACCCGTCAACCTCGCCAACATCACAAACGAAACCCCACCAAGCACATTGTTCAAGCACCTCAGAACCACCACAGAAGTCTTGAATGCCAGAGGGGGAAGCCCCTTTTCCAGCAAAAACTCAGCCCCATTCAAAGTTTGGTACCTTAAATTACTGCTTATACCCATGTGAGCTGCCCAAGTGAGCGCATTCAATAAAGTTGGTGGTGGCTTGTTTGGGGTCTCGAAATTCGGGTCCATCTTCTTCCTCAGTTTGATCAACCCATTTGACAAGGCAGTCCCAGAAAGCCCAGCAGCGAACCCAACAGCTGCAAAGACGGCTCCTTTGTAAACGAATGTCCCCAAACGGTTCACCAACCCATATGAACCCGGTTCGAACATGTGGCTAGCCGGGCAACTGGCGAAGATCGAAGGCAGAGTGGCAGCTGAAGCAGACAAAGTGGGTGCTAACAAATACATCAGTGTGAAATTGAGTATGGAGCCGACGACGAGAGTCGAGAAGACGAAGTCGAGCTCGTTGAGGCCGAAATTGGGGCGAGAAGCCATGTCTCCGAGAACGCAAGAGCTCACTCCGACCACTTCCTCCATCAGAACCTTGAAAGGGAATTGGGGATCGGCTGCAACTCGAGATCTCCAACCGTTGAGAAACATACCCAGAACTCCAAAACCCTGAAGCGCCGACGAAGATGAAGACGACGAATCATCAGAATTCCCATCTCCGCCGCCGCGGCTCCAACCTCCGCTGTTTCCACCAGCTCCGGCGCCGGAGTGGCCATCGCCATTGCCGCCGGAAAACGAAAGCTCTGGCTTTCCATCCCAAATGGTCTTGGGAACAAACGAGATTGCCCGATTTAGGGTTTTAGAGTAGGGGAAGGAGATGGAGGAATTGGGGTTGTTGGAGAAACGGCGATTATCGGAGGGATTGTAGTGGTGTCTAGCAACAGTAGAGTAACGAAGCTGGGCAGTGGCTGCCATGATTGATCTGAATCTGAATCTGAATCTGAATCTACTAAGCTCAGCAAGTGAGTGATGTAATAAGAACCCTAAAAATGAAAAATGGTGAAGAAGAAGGCCCCAGGCAGACAATTACAAAAAAGAATATCAAGGGCGGCGGTCAGTGTCGTCTACACTCGCCAACCCTAAAAATGAGAGACGAGTATTTTTAGTGTCATTTCTACGCGCCTGTGAGTTCCATTTTGATCACACGTGGACATTGAACTTGGACGCTATTGTGAAAGTTGGTGAGCAATTTGGGCCCCAAATCCCACCAAACCAAGTACCGGGTCATTTTGGCTTAGTTGGTGTAAAAGGGCTTTTTGGTCATTCTACACTCCCGGGACCCTGGTTCGTATCCACTATCTGTCGGGCCGGTCTGGCAGTGTATGCGATTATATCATTACAACCCACTTTCCCACCTCGCCTTTATAATGCATTACACTCTTGATCTTTCGATAAAAAGGCAATTAGATTAATAGACTTAACAATACAAATGACAAATGTGATCAAGGGAGTCATTTCAATAACAATATAATGGATATGGGTAAAAATTTTCTAGTGATTTTAGCCAACTAAAAGCTAAAACGATCTAAAGAAAATCACTCTCAAAAATAAACTTTTCTATAACCCATCTCAACGCCATAATTTCCCCGAATCTAGTCTAATGACACTAAGGACCAAAACTAGTTGCTAACCGGCATGATTCTCCTAGAGAGACTAAGAACACCAAGCAAACTCAATTATGTTTCTAGAATCATAACAGAAAAAATATAGAACACTCATAGAGTTTCTGGACTTTATTAAACAAACTAAACCAAAATAAAAAGTCAGCAAAAGGAAAACCAACCATCATAATCTTCCCTCGAGACATAACATAAAAAGCGCCAACTAGTTACTCCAATGCCTCAACGCACCAATTGAGCAGTGGATTTACCATGTCCAAACCGCAACACCTCAAAAAGCAGCCTTGTAAGATAAGGCACAACCAAAGGCAGCTCAAATATGAGACAATAAATATGCCAAAGAAAGAGTAGATCAACTTAAGTCCACCAAAAGCCGAAGATCTGAAGGGGTTCGGGGGCATGATCTAAAGTTTTCTCTTCTCTCTCTCTCTCT